TGCTACTTTTACTGCCAATCCATTCTGCTCTGCCCAGCACTGTATCATGCAGATATACCCCAAGTTTCCTAGGCAACACAGGTATCCCAGGAGGTGTACCAAAGGATGCAAATAGTAAGACAATGTGAACTAAGAGAGTGAAAAATTGTTGCCAGGGAGCTAGTCAAATGCTAGTTGTTACATTTATGCAGGACCTTTAATTCTAAGGATCACATAAAACTACACAAGCCACATATTATTTAAGACTGTCCTCAGGAACAGGTACAATTAAACAGCAATTATGGTACAATGGAGAAAAAGATGGACAAGTTGGCCTAAAACATCAGGTTAAACCCTAACTCTTGAGGAAAGGCAGAGGATTTCTAGAGCGAGTGGAGAATTTCTTTCACCTGAAATGATGTATGCTCCTTCATCTGCATGGTCTTTATCTACCATATCATCTAGGCTTGCTTCCCCACCCTCCAACAAGATCCATTTATTTTTAGGGGATGTCTATACAGAGATCCATGCTTCCACTCTGCCCCTCTTATCCAGTGGTCTCTAACCTCTTCATCGTCAAAGAGTCCAGTCCCGCCACTGAAAAGGCCACCTTTAGAACCAAACGGTGAAAAGTCCTCATCGGTCAGCTTCGGAGGTTTGAAAATGTCATCATCATCATCATCTAGAAACACAGCACAAACACCAGACTGCCATGATGTAGGCTTATTCCACTGCAATCTCAATAATGATCAAGGAGACACAGAAATACAAATGCTGAAGAGCATTCAACAACTCTGGTTTTAATTTTCCATGCTCACATGCAATGGGGAAACACCAGCTTTGTCCAGAGTATAGGATTACAGTATCTTGACAAAAGATCATGTTTAAGCAACAGCTTCTTCTGCAGCCATTTCTACTCTTGTTCAGCATAGACAAAAAAACAAACTACCCGACTGCTCACAAAGTGAAGAATGCTAGTTCCTATCTAGTCCAGAAACCCTACTGTTGGAATATATCACTTTCTCCCCTTGCAACTAAGAAGGAGTTACTGTAATAGAAAAAGAAATCCTACCATCTGATGGAACTCTAGCTTCCTTCTTTTCTTTCACTGTCTTCTTACTTTTGACTTCTGCTGATGACAGGGCTAGAAGAAAGAGTTTAAAACCTGAGTTATTCTAATTATCTTTACTCCTGAATTACACAACCCGAGGCCAGTCCATTATTAGTTAGAAAGTTTGAGTCAAAAGCAGAGCTTGTGTACATGTTTCCACCTACACTGCACAGTCTCATGAAACAACCCTATACACTAGTTTTATGTCCCAGTTATTAAACTGAGAGACTCTGTCATGCAATGTGAAGCATACAAACTTCTCAGTTCTTATATTTTTATTACAGAGCACTGAGAAACTTCACATCAGTAGCAGGGTCCCATTGTATCATACAGAAAATAAGAGGGGTTTAACTGGGGGTTTGGGGACCAGAAGGTTCCTGCATGATTTTACCAAACAAGAACACTTTGTCAACCTATGAATGTTCCTGTGCAGAACTAACTAGTCTAGACCAGTGTGTTGCAAGAATATATGAAAGCGTCATGAACAAACTTTAAAAATATATCAACAAACTTTAAAAATGGATTCTCCTTTAAAGTACAAAAATGTGGGAAACACTGGCTTTTCCCTTACAGGCTGTCACAGTTCCAGCCTGCAATGGGCTGCTTGGGGCCCCCCAATGCCCCACACACTGGGGGGCTGGGGGTGGGGGGCAGCGGCAGGTCAGGAGTGAGGGGCACTGGGTCGGGATTGGCCGTGGATATTTATAAATGAGTCCTGGTACAAAAAAGGTTGAGAAACACTGGTCTAGACTGTTCAAGCTAAACAAGACAGAAAAAAAGCAGACAGAATAAATGGCAAAGTAAGATGTGTTTACAATTCTGTCAGTCTAAAGTGTGGCTAAGAATAACAAGGAGAGTTTCCCAAATGGATTACTGGTTAAGTTATGTAATGAAAACTGTAAAACAAACCTGAGGACACACCCCGTTTCACTCTTAAAAACAGGAAAGAGGCCACCAGTGAGCAGAGCTTTTCTTTGAGTCACCTGAAACCATTTAACACCCCGTGTGCCCAGGCAGGCAATTTTACTGTATGTGAGAATCTCCTTCTGATTTGGCATGCAAGGGTGAGCGTATTAAAGCCAAATGGAAGGTTTCACCTATTCTCTTTGCTAATTCCAGCACAACTCTCATATGTAACTCTGATCACAATCACCCTTCAGATCCCACTGACAACTGTAAAGCACAGTAGTAACATTTACATCACATGCTAATAGCGTTTGATGTTTATGGAATCAAACTAGGATATGAAAGAATTATTGTGTTGCTACACAAGCCCCCTAACCAACTTCAACTATCACCACTGTCCACTAGCCATATACTAAGAAGTAGCTTACACGACTGCTCCTCATCTTGTTTGCTTGGCATTTCTCCTTTTATCCGTGCTGCCAACTCATCTGCAAATGATGTTGGCCTTTTCTTTTTCTGTAGGCACAAGAAGATACTTCAGTTCCTTCAGTGTAACTCAATCCTCACCAAACTGGCAGTTACATTTGGATCATCCATCCCCCTACTGACAGAAATAAACATGTTACCCAATGATTCAGCAACCTAAGCAGCAGGATTAATACCTAAATTCCCTGTAAAGAAAAGTACAAATCCCAGAAGAATGAATCAGGCCTTCTTTAGTATGAGACAAATACACACTTGGTATTAAGGAACTTCTCTCAGGAATTTAAACAAGGACAAGTGCGAAGTCCTGCACTTAGGACAGAAGAATCTTATGCATTACTACAGCCTGGGGACTGACTGGCTAAGCAGCAGCTGTGCAGAAAGGTACCTGGGGGTCACAGTGGACACTAAGTGAAATACGAGCCGACAGTGTGCCTTTGTGCGATGAAGGCTAACGGCATACTGGGTGGCATTAGTAGGAACATTACCAGCAGATCAAGGGAAGTAATTATTATACTCTATTCTGCACTGGTGAGGCCACATCTGGAGTACTGTGTCCAGTTTTGGGCTCTCCACTGTTGAAAGGATGCGGACAAGTTGGAGAGAATCCAGCAGAGAACAACAAAAATGATGGGGAGGCTGGGACACATGACTTTTGAGGAGAGGCTGAGGAAACTGGGCTTATTTAGTCTGCAAACCAAGGGGGAATGTGATACCAGCCTTCAACTACCTGAAGGTTGATTCCAAAGAGGATGGAGCTGGACTGTTCTCAGAGGTGACAGATGACAGAACAAGGAGCAATAATCTCAAGTTGCAGCAAGGGAGGTTTAAGTTGGATAACAGAAAAAACCTCTCTCACTAGGAAGGTGAAGTGCTGGAATAGGTTACATAGAGAGGTTGCGGAATCTCTACCCTTGGAGGGTTTTAAGACCCGGCTTGAAAAGTCTTGGGTGGAATGATCTAGTTGGGGATGGTCCTGCTTTGAGCAGGGGGTTGAACTAGATGACCCCCTAAGGTCCCTTCCAAGAGTAATTTTCTATGATTTTCTATGATTCTATGACTGTTGCCTAGGTCAGGAAGGGAAGAGTCAGGTCTAACATTAGAAGCAGGAACTCAAGTCCTAGTATCTTTGTAAGAGGAGTTTTTCCCAACTTTCTTGATTTATAGCTTCCCTTCCTCTTTTGCACTATATTGTGTCTTTACTGGCTGTTATACGTGCACTGCACAGACAGCGGAGCGCCAAATCCCTTCAGAATACGACAGATCGTGCCAATTTAACAGGTCATTTAATTGGTCATACAAATGATAGAAAACAAGTACCCCTCTTAAAAATCTTTAATGCTGTCTGGTTTCTGGCTATGTTTGCAATTCACTCCATGCCATACCTGTTCATAGTAACCCAACAAGTGGCTTTGCAGAACCCTGAAATGTGGTTTTAGAGCCAACCTGAAACCTGTTCACCTCAGCTACAATTCTGTGCAGATAATGCCAGGCAAGAACCTCAAACTTCTGCAACACACCGTAAGTGAGAACTTCTACGTGCCTTCCATGCTGAAGGCCTACTAGGAACACTGGTCACTGCTAATGGCATGCCAGGGACCAGCACTCTCAGATCTCAAGCTGTAGGTACATGGTTTAACCATTTCAGTGCTCCCACAATTCGGAAGTCAGGAATGCTGATGACTGGTGTTCCTGCCTCCCATGCTGCTGGTACACTAGGACATTTAAGGCGTGAGCCCACAGCCTGAGAGTCACAATAACAGTCACTGGTGCTCCCAGCTCCCAGGCTGTGGGCAAGCACTTTAAGTCTTCCTGTGTCCCCAAAGCACAAAAGTTGGGAATGCCAGTGACTGGCTTTCCCACCCCCACCCTGCACACAGCTTAGACATTCAAGAGTGCACACCTGCAACCAGGTTTCCTGGTTGCTAGTGTTCCAGCTGTCCAGGTGCTAGTGCCCTGAGTGAACAATCTAGCAGAGCTGAGAGCACTGTTTTTCTCACCTGGGCAGCTCTTGCTGGCAGTGTCCCTGCTCCAGGTGCTACCAAATAGGAACCAAGACAGGGCAGCCTGCAGTCCTTCCTTACAGCTTATCCTTGGGTTGGCTGTCAGGGAGCTAGCTGTTCTCTCTTCCTCCTTTTGGAGAGCAGAACAGTGTAGGATCATGGGGTTCTCTCTCCCTGGCCACCCATTCAATTTTTGATAACATGACAAAGAAGTTGCTGCTTAAAACAGAAATTCTGTCATGGATCTGCCTTCTTTGTGGTAGAACCACCATTTTTTTCCTGGGAGAAATTTCTTTAATCTGTGGCATGTTATGATTTGTTGCAGGATACTTACATATATCCCACAAGAAATACAATGTCTGGATGGGGGCTCTAGTGATCACCGCACTAGCAATATTATCAACATTTTTCTTTCTCTGCACCCCAAGCAGCCATCTCTTACCAGCCTTGCACTTTCTTCTATGTCATCTTCCTCATCTTCCTCTTTCTCAGAATCAAAGAGATCACAGCCATCATCTTCGTCCTCGTCACTCAGAGGTGCAGTTCTCTGAGAGGCAACAACAAGCCCCTGCATTTCAGTACAGCTAGAAGTACGATAAATGCCACCAAGTCTAACCAAATTTGCTCAAGAAACATTCAAATAGTTTTAAGTGTGGGAACCAGGGAGAAATTGTTATACTTTCCAAATGATACAGCACATCCTCTGTATCAACTGTAATGCTAGCAAACCATCTGTTATATCGCAACCCAGACCTTATCTCACTGAGCAGCTAGAACAGCTATTGCAGTAGACTGGAATGGGATCAAAGAAAGACTCATTAAGGCAGCACTAACACTATGCATACCCTTCCCCTGCTTCTGCCCCTCAGCTCCCCTCAACATCTCGTTCTAGTGTCTCTAACCGTATATTCTACAACCCTGAAGATCTGCACTAGAGGTGCAATGCCCTGCAGATCACCTTTTGAGGATCCACACAGCAACATCATGTATGAGGGACCATGCAGTCCAGAGGTGCTAAACATACAAAAATACATGATTTGCATCTTCATAGGAAGAACAATTAAAAGTCTAGATTAAGTCCTAGATTAAGTTCTCATCTCTTCCTTGTACCTCTACTATACCAAGCGCCACTACTGCTGTTCAAGAAGTGCTTGTCCATACCATTTTCTGGTCATCCTCACTAGGGTTTCCAAACTCTTCATCCAATTCCTAGAAAGCAAGAGACATTTGATAGATATGTATGAAGCCATGCCAAATCCCCAAAGTAAAAGGCTTTGAAGTTCTATCAGCACCCTCCCTCACTGCATCTACTCAGCTGCTTTCCCACCACTGAACACTCTGGCCTAGGAAATAAATGTATCAGACACTACTAGGTTAAGGTTGTTTTTTTTCTTAAATCAAGCGCTCAACATGTTCAGATAAGTGCTTTAGGCTGATTAAACAGGGAAGATCATTCTATTCCCAAGCATGCCAAAAAAGGAGGGGGAAAAAAAAAAAAAA